CTGTAGCCACCAGGGCCTAGGAAAAAATCCTCCCTGCCCTGGTGGTTCCTATCTTAGTTCCCCACGTGGTCCAGCAAAAAATGTGCCTTCATTGGCCCTGAGGAGGGCTGGCATCCCAGCCCTGAGCTTCTGTCACCTGCACATGGAAACCCAGGTCCTCACATGCCTTGGCAGGGTGTACCCTGGGAAGCTTGGGTCCAGTCCTGCTCTTGGGGACTCGGGCACCTGGCTGGCAGCTCCCCAGGCACACTGGCCTTCTGGCTCTCATTCCCAATCCCCTTCCCAGGTCCCGGCTATTCAGGCTCACTCAAGCAGCCTCCCATTTTGCATTATCTTCAGTACTCTCACAGCAACTGCTACCCCAGAGACTCCCACACAAAGCAGGGAACATGGCATTTTTAAGAGAAGCGTTAAAGCCCCGCTAGCATACTCACTTTGCTGCCTTTGCCCTGATGGGGCATCCATAGCTCTGTCTGCTTAAAGAGCATGGGCCAGAGCCTGAGCCACAAGCAGTCAGCTGCAGGAACTTCCAACACCTCCCTCAAAGAGGGGAGGGTGAAGAGAGAAAGAGAGAAGAGGAGAGAAGAGACGGAGAGAGCTGAGAGCATGCGAGTAAGGAGCTGGGTGCTGCGGAGAATCAGGCGCAGCAGAGCAGAGCTTCAATCTGCTGATTAATTCAGCCTATTTCCAGTCACGCTGCAGATTCAGGGAGGGAGGAGGAGGCAGCAGCCCTGGAGGGGCGGGAGGGAGGAGAGGAGAGGAAAGAGAAGGAGGGAGGAAACAGGAGCATTGAGAAGAGAAAGTTTGTCTGATGCTCTGCCAAATGTCCAGGAGCTTGGCCTGATTTTCAGAGGAAGCCACTGTAGGGTGAGCTGAGGGGCACCGTGCAGCCAGGATATAGACAGAGAGAGAGGGACAGATGGAGGAGAAACTTCCCATCCCAGAAACCTGAGGACAACTGCCGGTATCAAGGGGAACACTGGGATACACAAATCCCAGCTCTCTTCCCAAACTACCTGTCCTTTGCCCCCAAGTCACTAGGTGAGCCCATCATCCATGAGAGTCCCCCAAATCACATGGCAACCCCCCAGCATGGAGTCAAGCCAACAGCCCTTTCCACAGTTACAGCTGCAGGAAGGAGGGGAAGGGGGACTTGTGGGTTATTAATAGCAGCACATCCTGTGTGGAGAGGGCGGGATGGACTGGCCACTGAGAAGACTTGAGCAGTGACTTCTAGGAAGGCAAAGCCCAAGGCCAGGCAGCTGGCAGAAGGAAGGATCCAGCAGGGAGGGAAGAGCCAGCCCAAAGGGCCTCTGAAGACTCTAACACCTTCCTGCCAGGTAGCATGGAGACCCCGACAACCACGCAGGGAAGAGCCAGGCCAGAGCCAGTGACGTCCCAGTGCACTCAGACACACCTGCCCATGTGCCCGGGAACACCCAGGCCCCAAATCACCCAGGCCCTGCATCCCCCAGGCAGAGAGGACCCCAGATAGCTGGGGCTCCTGACTCAGCATATGCCAGAGCATCAGGCAGAGCCTGAGTGAGTCATGGCTTGAGAGGCATCGTTCAGGGACCCCGAGTTTGACATACAGGATGCTCTCAGCACAGGCACCCTGGGTGAAGGAGGGGCCAAGGCAAGGGGAGTAGATGGGACACTTCTCCGCCTAAAGCCATCCTTATAATGGGGTTACACGCCCCAGAGGAGAGGAAACAGCCTAACAGGTCCCAGAGCTGGAGAGTGTGAGCTGGAGGCTGAGTATGTTTCTCCAGGGCCCTCCGTTTCCTAGACAACACCATCTCCAGCTGCAGGGAAGAAGGAGCCTCAACAGCCCAAGCCAGCCTCCCCCTCCCCTTTCACAAGTGCAGCTCCCTGTGGGGCCCCCAAACAGAGTGCTGAGTGAGAACAGAAGGGAGGGCCTGGGCAGTCCAGAGGTTAAGAACAGGAAGACTCCATGGAGAGCAGGAAAGGTTGGCAGTGGGGGTCAGCTTCCACGCCAGCCACTGTGAGGATGCTGCTGCTCTGCAATCTGGCTGTAGCAAAGAGAAAGACTCCTATCCCCTCTCTCCTGTTCCCAGAGGCACTGCTCAGGTGGGAGCTACAAGTCCACAAACACTGTCCCTTCTATGAGACAGGCCCCAGAAAGAACAGCACGCAGGGGCTGGCCCATGTGCTGTGCAGGCCCCAGTGTAGCCCTCACTGGGCCCTGCCTCCCTTCCTACACTGCCCACTTCAGTAAATGGAGAAGGGAGCCCTGCACCCAAGCAGCAGGAAGCCGGGCTGTCACTGCTACAGCAGCCACTGTGGGCTGGAGGACCAGGGACAGGGTTGAGGGATTTGAAGGAAAGACAGAACTGATGGGTCAGAAAGAGAAGGGCAGGAAACAGAATCATCTAGCAAGAGCCAAACCACTCCTGGGCTAAGCCAGGGTCAACCACCCTCTTACCATCAATGACCACCATGCCAGATCCTCCAAAGCCTACTTCTCCAAGACACCTTCTGACTGGTGTTTTAGACTCTGCTCTGTTCCCCAGGCTGGAACGTGGTGGCATGATCCCAATCTCAGCTCACTGCAACCTCCGCCTCCTGGGTTCAAGCAATTCTCCTGCTCTAGCCTCCCAAATAGCTGGGATTACACGCGCTGCCATGCCCAGCTAATTTTTATATTTTTAGTAGAGACAGTGTTTCTCCATGTTGGCCAGGCTAGTCTTGAACTCCTGACCTTAGGTGATCTGCCCACCTCAGCCTCCCAAAGTGCTGGGATTACAGGCGTGAGCCACTGCCCCTGGCCAAGATCATCTTTAGAAGTCCATTTATACAACTCATGAGTTACCTCAGCCAGAGGCCCTACTAGGTGTTATTACTTAACTGCTTGTACTAGCCATTTCATTTGTTTGTTGTTGTTTTGAGATGGAATCTCGCTCTGTCACCCAAGCTGAAGTGCAGTGGTGTAGTCTCTGCTCACTGCAACCTCTGCCACCTGGGTTCAACCAATTCTCTTGCCTCAGCCTCCCAAATAGCTGGGATTAGAGCCATGCGCCATCACGCCTAGCTAATTTTTGTATTTTTAATAATAGAGATGGGGTTTCGCCATGTCGGCCAGGCTGGTCTCAAACACCTGGACTCAAGTGATCCACCCACCTTGGCCTCACAAAGTCCTGAGATTAAAGGCATGATCCCAGCCTGCTTGTACTGTCAACTCCTCTACTAGGCGTCAACTCTCTTTCTAAGCCATGGGCCACCTTTCTGGTGCCCAGAGCTCTATCAACCCAAAGCTGCCATTCCACAATATGGACTGCCCATGATGACAATCCTTTCCAGGTCAGGGCTCACCTATCCAGAAAGAGGAGGTGGAAGAGAACAAAGAGAAATCCTCCAGGAAAAATGGTCCCTGAGAGCTATCCAACCTGGGTCCTCAAGTCTTCTCCCTCAGGCTGGAGAGAGAAGCCAGCCCCTCCATACAGAACTTTGTTTCCCCCATACACTAGGTACCAGTGTAGTGGTTCCAGTTCAGTGGTTCTGGCTAGAACCAGAAGACAATACCAACCCCTGTTTGGGGGACATTCAGCCTCATCCAAGCAGGCCACTGCATTACATAACAGCAGAGCCTCTGGGGACCTGCTCCTTGGAACTCAGCAGTGTAGAGCACTTGCGGCTGCTTGCAGCAGCCTTCCTCCCAGCGAGGAGACAGGCAGGCACGGCTTTCCCTCCATGCCAATCACTGCTAGGATGGGTATCTGCTGAGCACCCAGAGGTGGCTGTGAGCCAAAGGCCAAACATGCCTGCTTCAAGTTCAATTACAGAAGCCTATTGCACTAGCTGGTCCAGAGACACAGGAAGCCTGGAGCTGAACAGGTGGCAGCAGCCAGCCAGCCAGCCAGCCAGCCAGGTGCCAACAGAGGCCCGGGGAATGAACCCACAGCCCCCTGTCCAGACCACTCCAAGATCTCTTCGGAAGGAAGATCACTATTCAGAAGTTCAGGTCAATAAGTATTTACTAAGCCCTTGCTATATGCCAGGCTGGGTGCTGTAAACTAGAGATATTGAGATTAAGTAGAAGAGATGAATTATTTCAATAGAATAGGGACTACAATAGTGGAGGTACTATGAATGCTGAAAAGAAAGATTCTGGAAAGAAGGAGGTCTTAACTGGAGAAGATGATGTCAAAACTGGGTCTTGAAGGAAGAATAGAAGAAGTTTCCAGGAAGAGGGGTGGGAAGCATTTTAGAGGTAATTACTAGTGCTAAAGGCAAGGCAAGGAGGCTAGGGACACCGATCCATGGGCAGGAGCAGGATTCTAGAGGGCTATGTACACACTGAAGGTTAAGTAAGTGGTTTGGAACCACTGATTAGTTTTGTGGCAGCCATGTGGAGGCTGGTGAGCAGAGACAGAAAGATCTATTAGGAAGGTGTGGCAGAAGCCAGGCAAGAGACAAAAGGACTTCCTCTGGAGCAGTCTTTGTCAAGGGAGAGGAGTTTTCTGATTAACAACTCTACCTCCAAAGATGGTATACATGGAGGCTGTGCCAAGCCAGGCTGGGAGGAGAAGGCCAATCTTACATATGGCCCGGGCCACCTGCCTGCTCACCACCAGCTGATTAGGCAGCTGTATTTGGAGTCTGATTGGGGAGCTCTTCCCTAACCACAGAGAGGGTGCCCAACAGCCCTCAACATGGCTCAGCAGGTTAGGACATTGCCCTAGCAAAGGGGAAACAAACTAAATTACACACCCCTGGGCAAGAAGTGGAAGACTGGCTTAGAGCCAGTCTAATTCAGAAAACCTGCTCCCACGCAGGTGTGTTAACAGGTCCTCCTTCATCCTTTATTCACAGTTCCCTGAGTCTGTACTTTTCAGCCTCGAGGTCACAGTTGCATCCCCTAAAACTCAGAACCACGCCTCCCTTCTCAACTTTGGTTCAAAGCCCCCAGGAAATATAAGTAGGGAGAATTCAACAGAGACACATGGACAATACCTATAAGGTAATGGGATATGGCCTACCAGGTGCTTCTCCTTCAGGTCCATGGAACAAGACTACTGCAGGCATGCCCAGATTAATGTGGTCACTCCCGAAAGGAAGGCTCCTCCCCAACATGTACAAACCCCAGTCAGTCTGTCACAGTCACAGCATCTGGGGGAAAAGAAGAAAGAAATCATCATCCAGGTTGCTGGAACAGGCAGTTACTGTAAAACACGATAGTATCATCTTTTTTTCTTTTTTTTTTTTTTTTGAGATGGAATCTCACTCTGTCACCCAGGCTGGAGTGCAGTGGCACGATCTCAGCTGACTGCAACCTCTGTTTCCTGGGTTCAAGCGATTCTCTTGCCTTAGCCTCTGAGTCTCTGAGTAGCTGAGATTATAGGTGTGTACCACCACACCCAGCTAATTTTGTATTTTTCAGTAGAGATGGGGTTTCACCATGTTGGCCAGGCTGGTCTCGAACTCCTGACCTCAAGTGATCCGCCCGCCTCAGCCTCCCAACACAACAGTATCATCTAAACAATAGTGTGGTATGTGGAAAAGAACTGGACTCACTGACTATCAGTGCCCTGGTCAGCCCCAGCGAGCAGCAGAGCTTCCCCCAACCAGCCCTCTGGATGAATTCCACTCTCTGAGGCCAGGCAGGAGAGGGCTAGAGATTATTCTGGAGGGGTGCAAACTTTCTGTCTTTCACCCTTCATTTTTTAAATTATTATTTTCTTTTTTTTTTTTGAGACAATGTCTCACTCTGTTGCCCAGGCTAGAGTTCAGTGGTACGATATCGGCTCACTGCAACCTCCATCTCCCAGGCTCAAGTGATTCTCCTACCTCAGCCTCCCGAGTAGCTGGGATTACAGGGATCTACCACCATGCCTAGCTAATTTTTGTATTTTTAGTTGAGACGGGCTTTCACCATGTTGGTCAGGCTGGTCTCGAACTTCTGACCCGAAGTGATCCCCCTGTTTCGGCCTCTCAAAGTGCTGGGATTACAGGCACGAAGCACTGCACCCTGCCTATTATTGTTTTTTTTTATTTTTTTTTTCCAGTTTACTGTGTTTATTAAAGTCACATAAATGGTTTGACAAAAGTGCACAATAGAATGACGTCACTGGTTTGTTATAACTCACAGCGAATTACTAGAATACAACAATGTAGCTCCTCTACACGGAGGACTGCAGGATGGGGTGAAAAGGACAGGGTCTTTTCCATCGATTAGGCCAGTCAGATTTTACTCCCCAGCTACGTACCTCTGAAAAGACTGGTAAGGAAAGCTGAGTTTCTTTCCTCATCTTTTCTTCTCTACTAGTTACTAAGCAACAACAAAAAAAGCCATGCATAAGTTTTATAACACCTGATAAAAAATAGATACAAAATCTTCTTCATTTCATCACTTGGCAAGCTTGCATCTTCGCTCTTTCATTTTTCTGATTAGGCCATTCATCACATGACTCACCCCAGATAAAAGCCATAATAATTTAGCAATACTCACCCCTGTATGGACATCAAGATACACTCCCCATAACCATCAAGTCACCATCCCTTCCCTACAAATTAACACAAAGGTACACACCACAAACCTAGAGACCACATTTACTTAACAGTTTAAAAAATGAATGTATCTCCACTATCAATAGTGTAGTATGTATTTCAGATCCCATATTTGGGGGAGGGCATGCTGTACAACTCAGCCCATCTAAAGATTTGGGCAAGTCTGCCAGAAATACGTAAGAAAGTCCTGCAATGTGATATACACATAGGAGTTTTCTACTTTCAAGAGATGACATCCAGAATGAAGCTATGCATTTTCAGAGTAGGAATGGACACACAGCTTAAAACCTCTGGACTAAATGTTTCGTAGCACAAAAGGCAGAGTTTTGTTTTCTTTAACCCCTTTTTAATGTTATAGTATAGTCAGTCAGAAAAGCAGAATAGTCGTGTGTACATCAACACATCTGACTAACCTGAAAAGGAACATTTAAGATTCTTACAGAAAATCTACCATAAAAACAAGTCCTTTATACTTTCATCCATGTACTCACTAATTCAGCTACAGGCTGTTTCTAAACCAGCAAACTGTAACCAAAGGTCTAACAACTTACTCCTCACCCCACCCCATTCCAAAAAAAAAAAAAATGCTTCTGCTTCAATAACCCAAAGTGGTCTTATTCATAAAGTAGCTGCCTCCACTATGGTGGAAACTCTTAACAGGGTGTTGCTCCCTTAAAATTTTAATTTTCAAAACATTTGTCAAATAGAGTTGGTATTTAGAAAGTTGCTGCCCCCAAATCAAACGTTACTTCAAACAGTGCTATCATACTTAAGTTCTCACAATTACCAGTTTAGTCCACTATTAGTATGATGAAATAAAACCCTTCTCAGAAACAAGCAAGACCAAAGCTTCCAGCTGGTCTGCTTTGGAGTTTTGTTTATGTAAAATTCCCACAGCAAAGAACCTTAACGTGGTTGGGCTGTGGCCTACTAGAGCAACCAAGGTAGACTGAAAAAAGCTATGTTGTCAGTGTCAATTCTACTGTAAAGAATATTCCCCCTTCTTTATCAATTGAGGGGATGGGTTTGCTGCCCATTTCTTGAGTTTAATTGTTAACCTAAACTCAATAGTTGTTTTGCCAACTCTATCAAGAGCATAAAACCCACTTAAGTTTCTCATGATTTGCAAATGGAAACATCCACCTGGGCCTCTCTAGCTCATCCAGATTTATATGACAATTACTAAACAGGACAGAGAAGTTTTGGGTGAATCTGTAATACCATCAATGAAGTTACAATTCAAAGCATACGTATATCAACAGCAAACATCAAATGACCAAAGTGGCTGCAAAATGGAGACAGCCTGAGTTCATGGAGGGCTGAGATACAGAACTATCATTTTCTTACCTATTTTCCTTTTAAAAAAAAAAATAAGTTTGGGAAGGGTCTGGCTAAACACAGTATTTTAAAACAATTCTACTAAAAACATTAAAAAAAAAAAACAGGCATGTAGATTACTTATTTCAAGAATGATTTTATACAGGTGTTTCACAATACACATTTGGATTGATTTTACAAGATAGAATTAGATTCTCAGCAAGATACTACACAATTTACTACTATACTAAACAAATGAAAAAATCTAATTACCATTAGCATAGTTCATAGTTTATTCCACTGTCTTCAAATTTGTCCTCCAACCTGTCAGCATTTCAGTCAAGTTTTACTTTCTCCGGCATTGTCTTCCCTTCTCAAAAACAGAATGTCATTAAATTTTGATGTCTGAATATGTACATATAGTCATTATCCTCATTTTGTAAATAAGCAGTGTCTTAAATGGTGCTGGTCCTGGATAGCCAAAGGGATGAAATGTGTTTTTAAAACATGCAACATTATCTGATATTTTAAGTTTTGATGTTTAAATAAAAATAATATACATTAATAATGGAACCAACTGAATACCAAGTATCAAAGCTATTCCTCAGACTGTCCAATAAGTAGGCCTTATAGTTTGAAAAACAAAGGGTCTGATCTGAACCATGGAAAAAGCATGATTCACTCACCTTGAAGAAGTACATTTTCTCTTGCAGGCCACAGAGAGTTGCCAAGAGCAAGGTACAAGTTTGGTAATTTTCAAATTAGGGCTCACTCAAATACCTCCCTTTAAGCCATCCTAAAAACCTTCCTTGTAAAATCTCAGGTTAGGAAAATAGAAATCTATTACCGTGACAGAATTTACCACCAAAACATTCCTAACTGAAGCAAGAAGACACACAAAGTATAACAACAACTGTAAAAAGTATCTTGCATCCTTGGAGAAAAGTCCCCCCTTCTGTCCCCTCCCACCCTTCAAAATATTTCATTTTGTGGAGTATTTGTAGGTGCTGATTTTGGCTTGGTCATTGTTTCATACTGATCCAACTGCAGCCTTTCTCTTATACTTTACAAAGCATTATCCATAGACAAAATGTTAATTAAAACCTTATTTTTTTTTAAGTTTATATCTGATGCTGCTACCTCATTATAATGCTTTTCATTAAAGAAAGAAAAAAAAAGCTGCAGGTCTTCACTTACAGTACCATGCACTATGAGTAGCTAAGGCATTCATTTGGCACTAGACAGAAAATTACAGATACAGCTAGTTTTGCTTTCATTATCATTCTTAACATCAATAGAAATAAGTGTGTAACTTTCACTTGAATTTCTGCTATGCTTAAAAGATAATCACAGAATACCCTTTTAGTTTGACAGTTAAAATGTTGCCATTAAAACAAAACAAAGCAAAAAACCATAAAGACCTCTGTATAGCCTGTTGGAATAAGTGACATTTTGTGGTTGAAAAATTTGCAGCTCTCCGACAAAATTACCTTTCAAGTGGCATTGAGAATTATTTATATCATAAAATATACATAAGTTCCTATACCACACTGGTGATATTTCTACTTCTTGTCACAGACTTAGAAAGTGAAAAAATTAAAAAATATCCAGGTTCCTTTTCATCACAAATAAAATACCTTCTTAGGGAGGCATAAATAATGCCTTCTGGAAAAGTAGTTTCCAAATTTTAAAAGATAAGATACAGGAGGAAAAGGAAGAAGGGACAAAAATAAAATGTATAACTATACTGTGACAGTTTGTTTCATAAGAAAACAGCATTCATGGGCCGGGTACGGTGGCTCAAGCCTGTAATCCCAGCACTTTGGGAGGCCGAGGCGGGTGGATCACGAGGTAAAAAGATCCAGACCATCCTGGTCAACATGGTGAAACCCCATCTCTACTAAAGATACAGAAAATTAGCTGGGCACGGTGGTGCGTGCCTGTAATCCCAGCTACTCAGGAGGCTGAGGCAGGAGAATTGCCTGAACCCAGGAGGCGGAGGTTGCGGTGAGCTGAGATCCTGCCATTGCATTCCAGCCTGGGTAACAAGAGTGAAACTCCGTATCAAAAAAAAAAAAAAAAAAAGAAAACAGCATTCATATGTTTTACATGTCTATGCGCTGAATCAAATAGACTGTTGCAATTTAGATAAATTTCATTAAAATAGACTTTGAAGAATTCAAGCCTAAAGACAGAGTCCATCAAGATTCTCTGAAAAGTTGATTTACGATAATAACCATTTTGTATATACTACCCAGCATAATGAGACAATTTCAAATGGATTTAACTTTACAAATGTGTAACTATTATTAAATTAGCACATTTTCCAGATTAATCTGCAGCTATTTTTTTTTAAATCCTCCTGAATGCTAAAATGTGCTGCATCACTCCATATAAATAATGGAAGAGTAAAAACTACAGCAGTTTGGCATGTGCAGAACACCTGGATATCCCATTCCTTTTAATGTTCCTTTTTAGATTTTTCTTCATGAAATCCTCAAAACTGCTGCATGGGTAATACACTGACATCAGCTTAACAAAAATACTTTCGTAAGGAGCTGTTTAAAACATTATCAACTCGAAATTATAAATGTCCCTTGTTACATAAACATTTTATATCTGTTCCTTTAAGAAAAGAAAGACAAATAGGTGACCAATATCCAAATACCTTATAGTTAACACCAAAACAATGATGTGGCTTTGTTTAAAGTGTCTGAAATCAATTACCATGAGGCAAGAAAAACAAATACAGAACTAAGGAAGGATGGGATGGGAGGAAGGGTAGTGGAAAGAAAAGCAGAATTTATGAACACATAATTCTATTGTGTGTGATTCAAGTCCTTTACTTTTTAGCGCCACATTAAATGATTTTACATATCCAGTCACTTAATGAAATCCAACAAACTCTTCAAGAGTTCTGGGGATCTGGTCTTGGTGGTTAATGTCATCCGCCCGAACTGCTCGGGCAGCCAGGCCCTTGAGACTCATCTTCATTTGAGTTTTAAGTAGTATTTCAGATACCCTAGTTGTACTTTTGTCTAGTGGAGTTTTATTCTGTTTATTTGTCATGTCAGTGTGAGCTCCAGCTTCAACTAGACTAATGATGATAGAGTGCAAGGTCAAAAAATCACTGATGGGCCTGTTGTACTGCACGATAATATGAAGGGCACTGTTTCCCTCACTGTCCACGGCATTCACCCCAGCACCACAGTTCAGCAGGAGCTTTGTGACAAGTGCATTTGGAAAGCTGCAGATGTCATTGGTGTAGAAATCATCAACTGGAGTATTGGAGTTGACAGCTAGATGCAGCAAGGTAAAACCTTCACGAGTTCTAGGATCAAGGTGAATCAGGTTGTAGATCTGCTTGTTAATTTTGCACTGATCTTCTTCGCTGCACTGTGTTTTGGTAGAGAGGCACACTAAATACAGAAAGGTATAGAGATTACATTCATAATTGTCCATAGCATTGTGGACATCAGCATCTGAAATATTTTTCACTCTGTTCATACTTTGTTCTATTTCCAAAACACTGCATCTCAAAACACATTCTATTTCTGGGGATTTCACAGTTTCATTCAAATGTATCATTTTTGAGAAAACTTGAGCAAATCGAAGATCTTCGTGGGTGTTCCTGTTACCTTTCTGTTTAAGATGCAGGGCATGAAGCCACAACTTGGTACACTGCTCAAATTGCATGTTTTCCGCATAAACAGCCCCCCCTGTAAATGATGGCATGAGAGACATCAATATTGTCAGCACCTAAAATCCGTTCCCGAACTATAAGGCCTCCCATGTGAAGAGCACCTCTGTCTTGCCAAATGGATTCCAGTTCCTGAGGATTTCTACATTCAGTTCTATTCCCATAAGCATGGATTGGTGGAAGAACCTCTTTTTCAAGAATGTTATCACCGTCTTGAAACCACTCTAACATGGCTAAATATAGATAGTGGTACGTCTTCATGATGTCATATTTCTTATGGTCATTTGCAAAGGAGGCACCCAAGAGCTCCAAAGCTTCGATTCGACTTCATCACAATCAGCATGAGAGAGTAACAGTTCAACAACATCTGCTTTACAGCTTTTGGCAGCTACTTTCAATGGCGTCATCCCATGGCCATTCACTACTATAGCAGCACGCCATTTTATCAGCTCTTTCACAATATCTATGTGCCCAGCTTCAGCTGCAAAGTGCAATGCTGTGGCTCCACAATGTGCTTTAGCATTAGGATCAGCACGCTGTTCTAAAAGGTATCTGACCACATCAGTGTGTCCCTTATATGCTGCAATCATTAGGCAGGTGCTGTCATATTTGTTGGCAATGCTGATGTTGGCATTATTTTCAGCCAGGTATTTCACAATGTCCAGTCTGCCATCAAAGCACGCTGCCCGTAGGAGGGTTGAATTAGTTACTGTGGTATGGTTCACGTTGGCTCCATGGCTGACTAGAAGTTTAACAACTTCAAAATTTCCTGCTCCAGCGGCACACCAAAGAGCAGTGGCACTATCAATGATATACCCGTCGAAGCGGACGGTGCCAGTCTGCTGAGTCTGCACCCAGTAATGTTCTAACAGCAAGAGTACCACCTTTGCGTGTCCATTGCGGGCTGCGATGATGAGGGGCGTGGAGCGCTGCCCTCCCTGCTGGCTGACATAGCCCAGCAGATAGCGGATGTCGCTTTCAGACCGGTTGAGAAGCAAGGCGGCCAGAGTCAGCACCTTGCCCTCGCTGGCCGCTTTGTATACATAGCCAGCCAGGCCCTCCATGGCCGCCGCCAACTCTAACACCCGTTTGGTCGCCACCGCTGCTGCTGCCGTGCGCCCCCGGAGGCTGCGTTCACCAGCGCTTCAAACCTGGGCCCTCACAGCACATTCAACGGGGCGCCGCCACGCCCAGGCAGCACTGCGGCCCGGGGAAGGCGGAGATGCGGGGGAGGCCAAGTGCCGCTGGGGGTGACCCAGCCCGGGCAGGGAGGAGAGAGGTCTGTGCCGCCCGCCAGGTCCCAGGCACCGGCCGTGAGCCGAGGGGATCTCCATAGCGGCCGCCGCCCCGGGCCTCAGGCCGGACCCCTCCTTTCTGCGGGATGCGACAGGCTCGTGCCCGAGCCTACAGGTCGCCAGCAGGGTCCCGAGAGGGCCACGCGCTCCCCGGATGGCGAAAAGATGGGCGCGCCTCACGTGATCCGGCCTACCCAGCCTGAGGCCTAACACGGCCTCCGCCTGCGCTTTCCCTCTTCGCTGTCCCCAGCTGGAGGAAACCTGCAGGCTTTCGTTCCCCACGCTCAGAAGTGACGGACGCTGCCAGCAGCTTCGGAGATCCTCGCGTGGGGGCCCCCGGGGCGGTGCAGAACTCCCCTGCAGGAGCGGCGCCCTGCTGTTTTTAATTTTGCGTGGAAAAAGGTTCTTGCTATGTTACCCAGGTTGGTCTTGACCTCCTGGCCTCAAGCAATCCTCCCCACCTCAGCCTCTCAAAGTTCTGGGACTACAGGTTACAGGTGTGAATCACTGTGCCCAGCCTCAAAGGCACACTGTGTTCATTTTCAAAGGCACACTGTGTTTCGTTTCATACATACTCTGTTTATCACTGAGTTACAGCATGCAGAAAAAGCCTTGATTTATTAGCCTTTTTATTTCTTCTTATTATTTTTGGTAGACATGGGATCTTGCTATGTTGCCCAGGCTGTTCACAAACTCCTGACCTCAAGTGATCTGCCCACCTCAGCCTCCCAAAGTGCTGGGATTTCAGGCATGAGCCACTGCATCTAGCCAGCATTTAAAAAATTTAGGGTTGTGGGGCATGGTGGCTCACACCTGTAACTTTGGGAGGCTAAGGCGGGCAGATCACGAGGTCAAGAGATCAAGACCATCCTGGCCAACATGGTAAAACCCCAGCTTTACTAAAAATACCAAAAAAAAAAAAAAAAAAAAAAAAAGCTGGGTGTGGTGGCATGCGCCCGTAGTCCCAGCTACTCAGGAGGCTGAGGTAGGAGAATTGCTTGAACCCAGTTGCAGTGAGCCAAGATCGCGCCACTGCACTCCAGGCTGGCGCATGATGACAGAGCAAGACTGTCTCAAAAAAATAAAAAATTTAGGGTTAAGGTTAGGCACAGATCACTTGAGGTCAGGAGTTCCAGACCAGCCTGGCCAACATGGTAAACATGATAAAACCCCATCTCTACTAAAAATACAAAATTTAGCCAGGCATGGTCATTGGCACCTGTAATCCCAGCTACTCAGGAGGCTGAGGCAGGAGAATCACTTGAACCTGGGAGGCGGAGGTTACAGTGAGCCGAGATGGCGCCACTGTACTCCAGCCTGGGTGACAGAGTGAGACTCAGTCTAAAAAATAAATAAATAAATAAAATTAAGTTTAGGTTGTCCTTAACATCAGCTGAAATCTAGATATGAAAGTTGGATAATAAGGGGCAGCCAGGACAGCAGCAGGGAGGACGTCCACTACATCCCTAGGATGAGGCACTATTTCTTTCCATGTGCTGGCAGTCAGATGCCACACTCACCAGCACATGCAAGCCCCCAGCCCTTTGTGTGGCTGAGTGCAGTGCTCAACAGGCACCTGGGCAGACGAACACAGGATGAGCAACCCAATCTGACCACATGTCTGACAAAAGCGGGCTAGTTACCTGGAAAATGAAGGTTAGCTCTCCCTCCCCACCTACCCTCACCAGCCTCACCCTCCCGTCCTGGCAGCCATCACAACTCTATTGATCTCAGACCAGGGCGTGCTTAAGTACAAAAAGGGACACTGAGTAATCTGGTTTGATGCCAAGCAACTCCTCTGGGAGAAAGCACTCACCTGCTGACTAGGACAGTTATTTTGGGGGCCAGCAGCAAGCCTTGTCAAGGGATGCCAGAGAGAAACCCAGGAGAACTGACCCAGAAAAAAGCTGTCAAGAAACAATAAAAGCTGTGTCTGGAGGACCCAACCAGAAGGTCCAGGTTCTGCCACCAACTCTACTCCAAAACCCCACCCAATTCCTCTCAAGGTAGCACCCATGCTGGTGCCTCAGGCTGAGCAACCAAGTCTCTCCCACCCCTGCCTTTCACAGCTGAGCCAGCCTCAAAGAGTCAGATACAAACAGTGACACTGGAAGTGGCCTTGCAATGCGGTGGAATTTAGTCTTTGCAGCCAACTGAAATGGGATCCTGAGGGACCAAATCCATTCCTCCCCAAGGCCACTGTCTGACTCAGGCTGCCCCAGTCCTGTTTACGACTGCAGCTGGAGGTCCCCATGACACCCCATCCCAGCAGAGGCTGGCACCAGGAGCCAGATGGGGATTGTGCCTGTTAACTCCTTCTGCCAACGCTGCAAAAGCAAGATCACTCTGTGGCCAGCTGGAACCACAGCAGTACAGAGAGGGCAGCCAGGAACAGGATATTTTTCTAAGAGTCTCTGTTTTCCCATCATTCCAAACATGGGATTCTGGGAGACAGCTATTCTTAACGGTCTGATCTGAAACCAGCAGCAGGATCCTTAAAGGGCCAGTTCTGCTCCTAGCCCATTTTGAAAAAAAGCACAAGATTCAAAGCCAAATATCCCTGGGTTCAAACCCCAGCTTCACTATGTCTCAAACACCAATGACCTTGGCAAATTATTTGTCCCTCTGAGCCTCAGTGTCTTTGTTCATGGAATGGAAATGACAATACCTATTTCACAGAGGAGCTATAGAATTATGAAAAATACTATATGCAGGGGATCTAGTATATTTGACATATAGTAGGTACTCAATAAACAATTGTCATTACTGTAAGCAGCAAGCAAAAAATCTGAACCAAGTGCCACTTAGTTGAAGAATAAGGACTCAAAAGTAAGGTGGAAGAAAAAGAAATGGATGGTATAATGACGGGAAAGAAAAAGTAAAACTGTCTTTATTTGCAGAAGACAAGATCAATTGTATATAGAGAAAATCCTAAGGAATCTACAAATAAAGATACTAGAACAAGTAAGGGTGCAAAGTTGCAGGATATTAGGTCAAAATACAAAATATAAATCTATTTCTGGCTGGGCGCAGTGGCTCACGCAGCCTGGCGAACATGGTGAAACCCTGTCTCTACAAAAATAAATAAATAAAGACTAAATAAATGGGGAAATATACTATGCTCGTGGATTGGAAGGCTCAGTATTAAGATGGTAATTATCCCCTAATTTATCTATAGATTCAATTCAATCTTTATTTTTTTTCCACTCTTGTTGCCCAGGCTGGAGTGCAATGGCATGATCACAGCTCACTGCAACCTCCACCTCCTGGGTTCAAGTGATTCTTCTGCCTCAGCCTCCTAAGTAGCTGAGATTACAGGCTCCTGCCACCACACCTGGCCCATTTTTTGTATTTTTAGTAGGGACAGGGTTTCACCATGTTGGCCAGGCTGGTCTTGAACTCCTGACCTCAGGTAATCCACCCACCTCAGCCTCCCAAAGTGCTGGGATTACAGGAGTGAGCCACCATGCCCAGCCCCTCGATACGATCTTAATTTAAGTCCCAGCTGGGACTTTCATAGAAATTGGCAAGCTGATTCTAAAATGTATATGGAAAGATAAATGACTTAGAATAGGCAAAACAATTTTGAAAAGAAAAACAAATTCTGAGGACTTACACTAACTGATTTGAAGATTTAATAAACAGCTATAGTAATCAAAACATGTGGTACTGATACAAGGAGAGGCATACAAATCAATGGGACAGCACAGAGTCTAGCAATAGAGTTACACATATTGGCCCTTACTTCATACCATATACAAAAATTAAAGTAGATCACATATCTAAACATAAAAGTTAAAACTATAGGCCAGGCATGGTGGCTCACGCCTGTAATACCAACACTTTGGGAGGCTGAGGCGGGTGGATCACAAGGTCAAGAGATCAAGACCATCCTGGTCAACACGGTGAAACCCCGTCTCTACTGAAAATACAAAAATTAGCTGGGCATGGTGGCACAAGCCTGTAGTCCCAGATACTCGGGTGGCTGAGGCAGGAGAATTGCCTGAACCCAGGAGGTGGAGGTTGCGGTGAGCCAAGATCATGCCATTGCACTCCAGCCTGGGTAACAAGAGCGAAACTCCATCTAAAAATAAGTTATAACAATAATACTTCCAGAAGAAAACATGCAGGAGGGATGGGGGCAAGAATCTTTGTAACTTGGGATAAGCAAAGATTGCTTAAAAAACATAAATCATAAAAGAAGAATTTTAACCAGGTCTGGTGGAGCATGCCTATAGTCCTAACTGCTTGGGAGGCTAAGGTAGAAGAATCACTTGAGCCCAGGAGTTCAAAGTTACAGTGAACTATGATTGTGCCACTTCACTTCAGCCTAGGCAACAGAGTGAGCCCCTGCCTCTAAAAAACAAACAAATTAAAGAAAACAACTGATAAACCGCTCCATAAAAATAAAAAATTTTCCATTCTTTAATGCCATAAAGAAATTGAGGCTGGACACAGTGGCTCATGCCTGTAATCCCGGCACTTTGGGAGGCCAAGGCAGACGGATCACTTGAGGTCAGAAGTTCAAGTCTAGCCTGAGCAACATAACAATATCATGTCTCATAAAGCAAAAGTAGTTTTGAAGTCTTTGGGATTAAAATATATATATATTATATATATGTATATATAATATAAATGTGTGTATATATATGATACACACACACACACACACACACACACACAATTCTTACAGCTCAGTAGCAAAATCAACAACTCAATTTTAAAATGAGCAAAGATTTCAGCCAGGCATGGTGGCACACACTGCAGTCCCAGCTACTTGGGAGGCTGAGGCAGGAGGATCACTTGGGCTCAAGAGTTGGAGGTTGTAGTGAGCCATGATCTCGCCGGTGCACTCTAGCCTGGGCAACAGAGTGAGACCTTGTCTTAAAAAATAAATAGGCCGGGCGCGGTGGCTCATGCCTATAATCCGAGCACTTTGGGAGGCCGAGGCAGGTGGATCACGAGGTCAAGAGATCGAGACCATCCTGGTCAACAAGGTGAAACCCCGTCTCTACTAAAAATACAAAAAAAATTAGCTGGGCGTGGTGGTGCACGCCTGTAATCCTAGCTACTCGGGAGGCTGAGGCAGGAGAATTGCTTGGACCCAGAAGGCAGAGGTTGCGGTGAGCCGAGATCGTGCCATTGCACTCCAATCTGGGTAACAACAGCAAAACTCCATCTCAAAATAAATAAATAATAAACAGGCAAAGATTTGAATAGACATTTCATAATACACAAACAACCAATATGAATATGAAAATATGGTCAGCATTAATCATTAGGGAAACAAAAATTAAAAGCACAATGAGAAGGTCAGGCATGGTGGCTCACTCTGTAATTTCCACACTTTTGGGAGGCTGATGGGAGAGGATCACTTGAGGCCAAGAGTTGGAGACTAGCCTGGGTAACAGAGCAAGACCCTGTCTCTACAAAGAAATTTAAAACCACAATGAGAGACCAATACACACCCATTAGAATGACTAAAATGAAAAAAACTGAGATATAGCCAAGGCAGGAGGACCCTTGAGACCAGGAGTTCAAGGCTGCAGGGAGCTATGATCATACCACTGCACTCCAGCCTGGGCAACAGAGTGAGACCCTGTCTCTAAAGAAAAAATAAAACAAACAAAAAAAAGGAAGAAAATGAAAGAATACACCGGGATAAGGAGCCAAAATGTAGAGGCTCTGAGGAGTCACTGAAGAGCCTGGGTTTCTGAGTAGGCCCCAGGTTCGTTTGTTTTTTTCGAGACAGGGCCTCACCCTATTGCCCAGGCTGGAGTACAGTGATGCAATCACAGCTCACTGCACCTCAACTTCCCCGGCTCAAGCAATCCTCCCACCTCAGCCTCCCAAGTAGCTAGGATCACAGGCATTGCACCACACCTGGGAAATTTTTTATTTTTTTTTTTTGAGACAGGGTCTCACTCTGTTGCCCAGGCTGTTTCCAGTATTTTAAGAGGGTAGAAAATAGATCAGAGGGAAAAGGAAAGAAATTACAGGCAGAAGAGTTAGAAGAAAAGGATGATAATCTTGGTTTGCTGTGCCGAGTATCTAGACAAAGGAGGCAATAGTAGCCATGAAAACAAAGGGGTGGATGCTTCCTGCTGCCAAGCTCAGAAACAAGGTCAAAAAGAGCTAAGTGGCATACAAATCAATCAATCGATAAATAGAGCTAAGTGGGAGCCTGAGGCTCAGGTTGAAGGTGGGATGAGGAGCTGGCTGCCCTTGTAATTGCTTCTAGCACAATCTTCACTAGCTGTGCTTGTACGCTAGCCATCCCCAACACACCAAAAACAGTTTGGTGGATTTGTATTCAGTTTAATAGCTGTATTCATGGGGTACTAATTGATAGATCTGTGTTAAGCTGGAGGGAAGATTTTAATAACAAGCTGTAGGATTCTATCCTTGGTGGCATTATAGTCAATATTTTTATCAATGACTTGGGTGAGGAAACAGATGGTATGCTAATCAAATTCTTGGATAGCATAAACCTGGAAAGGAGATCAAAGTCAAAATCCAAGAAGCTCTCAACAGGCTGAAATGATGGGCCAGATCAAATGGGTTCAGTTTAACTGGAAAAAATATTAAGTCCTGCATGTAGGTTCAAAAACTACTGTATAAAATTACCACAAATGGCTTAGTTAGATGCAATTTCAATATAAGTGTATGCTCACTCAAAGTTCATTCACATTTAGGCTGCATTAACAAACAACCCATGTCCCTAACAAGAGACGGGGAAGTCTGATTTCTGTACATATCGGAGCATACCTGGAATATTTTGTTCGGTTGTACATCACACACTTTAAGAA